GTAGAGCTCAGGCCCACAAGCCGCAGATGCTGCTACTACTGCTGCTACTACTACTACTACTACCACTACTACCACTACTAGCTCTACTACTACTACTACTACTACCACCACCACCACCACCACCTATGGTGTTGGCGATATGAGCAATACCTGCACCACAGTACACAAAGCATGCCAGTCATGTTACAAGTAGCAAGACTGAGGGTAAGGGCACGATGATGATGAGCTGTCAAGAAGCTTTTAGCATCCGTGCAATGCTTGCAGTTCGCAGTTTCAGTTAACCAAACCGCACCATCACTATGACCGTCTCTGCGTTTTCATCATCAGCAGCATCATTCCATCCCAGTTAAAAGCGGGAACCATCATCATCATCATCATGATCAAAATCATCGGCCTCACCATCGGCCTCATCATAGGCATCATCATCATCATCATCATCATCATTACCATCATCATCATCATCAGCATCATCATCATCATCACCATCCACCATCACCATCACCATCATCGTCATCATCATCATCATCGTTGACATCATCATCATCATCACCACCACCGCCGCCACCATCACCATCACCTTCACCCTCAACATCACCAGCACCAGCACCAGCACCAGCACCAGCACCATCATCATCATCATCATCATCAGCATCAGCATCAGCATCAGCATCAGCATCATCAGCATCATCAGCATCACCATCAGCATCACCGCCACGGCATTCAGCATCCCGACCTTCTTCTCTTCGTTTCTTTTCGTCGTTTGCATCGTGGATTGCCCTGCTGCGAGGAGGAAGCGTGGTTCGCAGCCGCGCAGGTAGATCCCAAGTGGAAAGTGCTGCTCGGCTCTGTAGCTAGTCCTAAGAGGCATGCCCAAGTCGAAGTCGAAGGTCTTTGCTTTGCAAGAGCGTACCTGCGCCGGGTTCGATGCCCTGCCTTCGTGCTCTGTTTGAGGAAGGGGCAGACCGCCGTCTACTTTGCTGCCGCACGGAAGGAGGGCTTCATTTCGCAGGGTCGCTGCAGGATGCTAGTGAACCTTGAACGTGAACTGACTCAATTTCCCCCCATCGACCGCGGAAGCTTAGACAACATTCTAGCCACCATGGATGATTTCCCAAATTTTTTAATGTCTACAGAGATATTTTCAATTAAAAACAATCACCGGGTCCAATGTCTATCACAGCCGCCATGGATGTTGTGAGAACTGAATGCAGCGCAATTGTATCATGGCTTTGAGTACTGGTGTCATGGATGCTCCCGAAGCATAGACCGAAGTAGCAGCATGGTACACACCGAAGAGGTTGACAGTCCGCAGGCTCAGCGAAAGCTGGCAAACAGCAAGTCAAAACGCCGAATCTCGATGATACCAGTTCTTCTGCAGCACGCTGAGCGCCTATCGATGAACCCCGTCACAAGGGCTTGTTATCCAGAGCAGCCTGTTTCAAGGGTCGGTGCAGGACAGCATGGATGCTGAACAGATGAGCCGATTCCTGATGAGGCCTTGGGCTAATTAATGTGTCGGGTCGAGTGCTTCCCTGGGTTTCGGGAGTACATTGTGCGAAGCCCGAGTCTATTCAGTATTTCCACGTTGTCCTTGAGGTTCATCTCAGTAGTAGCATGGTCTGGAGTGCAGGCAGGGTTGGGTGGGTGGTTAGGTTCGGATAGGTTGGGTTGGGGTGGTTGGGAGTGGGTGGGTGGGTGGGTGGGTGGGTGGGTGGGTGGGTGGGTGGGTAGGTGTCATGTAGGGCCGGAATAATTTGTACTTCAGATTTCCTCCGGGTTTCCTTGATATCATAAGTATACTATTGCGTGCAAACCCTAAACCCTAAACCCTGGTCATTAAGGCATCAGGTGACCATACTGACCTCTTGGCTTGCATCGGTTTGAAAGCCCTGCCGAATTCTGACTCGGCTTGAGTTTTGAGTTGATTCCTGCGTCTTCAGAGCTTCATGGCCCGTGTCAACAGTCCTCAGCAGCCCAGTCGAGTGCGCAACAAGCCCGTGACCAAGAGGGACGACTGGGGGCAAAGCCCCTTGTCCCTCGGCTGTTTGGCACTTGGGTTCAGGTTGGGGTCTTGGTCTGCGGGGGCTTGTTGCTGAGGCGGAGGACGGAAGCAACTTTCACAGGAAGACGGGGAGCAAAGGCAGCAACAAGGATAGTTCCCCACTGCCTCAACCCTCATCTGCAGTTCGGCTGGAGCCGCTGAGGTTCTATGCTGCGAGAGAGGGACACACCGAGCCGCTGGGATGGGTCCTTAGGGTACGGAGTCTACGGGGTTGCGGGTAGTGCTAAGCGTACATTGGGGATGGTTGCAGGGTTAGGATGGAGAGCTTGAGTAGCCCATGGCTAGTCCTAGAGTCGTGCAGAAGCCTCGAGCTCCTCAACTTGCGGAGTATAGCTGAGGCTTTGTGCATTTTTCGTGGAGAAATGCGGCATGTCCGTGCACCAGACGGACAAATGGGGTGACACCGCGATCTTCTATGCAGTGGAGGCGAAGAAGCTTGAGACGATCGTGTACCTGCTGAAGAAAGGAGCGTCGCTGGGGGTACACAACCAGGAGCTCCAATCACCTGCAACGATCGCGTCTGTCGAAGTCACTCGCGAGCTGCAGGCACGGGTTGAGGAATGGGGCGAGCCTTTGAATGCGCCGCCGGCCCAGGCAAAGAAAGACAGATCACCAAAAGGCAAGCGCAAGAGGGTCGAGGAGGAGGAATCGGCTGCGGAGGGACCCCGAACCCTGGAGGAATGGGCTGCGCACCCAACCAAGATGCCCAGGATGCCCAGGGGCTCAAAGCCAGCGGCACGACGGCAGCCGAAAGAGGCAAAAGTCGTCACTGAAAGCCCTACGCACAGCGTCAAGGTGGTGACAGCAGACGCCCTGGAGGAGGTCAGGGATCTGGAGAAGACGTTAGTCAGAGATCAAGCCGATCTCTTCAAGAGCCAGCTCTTCGTCCGCTCCTGCCGAGTCGCAGACTTCTGCTTGGCACTGGGGGCCTACGAGAAGGACTCTCAGTTCTTCCGTGAGTACTCCTACATCGTGGCCAACCGTAGCTAGCTTGCACTTTGGGAGACTTAAAACAAATTCCTTATGGTTCCTACAGAGGTACCTATTCACAAATACTTTTTTAACTGCCCCAAAACTACAACCCAGGTGGGATGTGTGGATCGCTCGTCCTGGTAGCTCGCGAGACTGGGCCCGTCTTAAGGAACTTAACTTAATGCGCCCAAAATGAGGAAGCCATCTTCTTTACCGTAGATCCTTACAAACTAAGTTCCCCCGTAAACCCTATAGTCACTTTCACAGTAACCCTTGTACAAGCCCTTGTGGGTAGTTCTCTACATGAGGATCCCTCTTCTTGAGGTCCCCAATATAGTATCGGGACCCTAAGTAAGAGTACTACTCTTCTAGCCAGAGCCCAGGAAAAGGGAACCGACCGAGTTGTCGGCTTCTGCCATGCCGACTCCTGTGATCAGGAGCTGGTCATAGGCCATCTCAAGGCATCGTCGCTCCGCAGACCCAAACCCTAAAGACCCTAAAGCCCGTTTTGGGGGAGTCTTTCTGGCTTCAGGACATAGCAGGGTTTTCGGAACGGCTTCATTGGAGTCCTAAGCACATCACGCACTATTCCAGACACTTAAAACAGAAGTATACTACAAATGTCAGGAAAAAGACTATTCTACTTAGTTGGGCCCCGATACTTGCACCCCTACACTTATGCGAATTCTACAGCAAACCTAATGCTACTTAGTAGGGTATATGCCCCGTGTACTACACCCCTACCCGTGCACTGGGAGGTGCATCGCGAAACCCTAAACCCTAAACCCTTCGCACGCACTGGGAGGTGCATCGTGATCACCAGGGCCAAGGTGTAGGCAAGCTGCTGATCCAAGGAGCCGAGATGCAGGCCTGGAAAAGGCTGCTTAGGGGTACTAGAAATACTTCTTAATCTTTAGTTCCTATAACCTCCCAAGAAACAGCTAACCTTTCGAATTTTGCGCTAGGGTCCCAAGGGCCCAAGTTCTCTTCGTTTCAGCTTCAGACCTAAGTGTTTCAGCTTCCGAGTTTAGAGTACCCGGGTTTGGAGTTCAAGACTCAGAGCTTGGGGCTTTAGGGTTTAGGGTTCGGAGGGTTTGGGGTTTAGGGTCCAGATTCAGGGTTTAGGGCAGGACAGCTCTGGTCGTTTGTCTGCGGGAGGAGCTGCGGGAGACCAGGGCTCGGGTAGCGACTTCTGGCTTTGCACTGGGTGTTCCCGAACTTCAAATCCCTAAACCTTAAACGCTGAACCCTAAACCCGAAGGCCCTCCAAAAAAACGAAGAGAACGCCACAAACGCCAACTCCTAGACCGGAGGAACTTAGGAGGGTGGGCTTCCACTTGAGGATTCAGGTTTTCATGCTGGCAAATCGGGGCTCTGAGGCTCTGGCGATTGGGCTGTCGAGGTTGGGTATCGCATCATGGGCCATTTAGGGACACACTTGAAGACTGCGGCATTGTGTGTTTCGTGATCTCTGAGTGTGGTGCTGTAGTGTTGCAGGCTCAATTTCGTGCTTACCTTTTGACTGTTGATTGTGGTTGGGCCTAGAAAGTGGCCTTGCTGATGCGCATGCTGGCTGTCGTGCGATGCAGCACGGCCCGATTGCTTTGGTCCCAGCATCATTGCAGCGGTTTGTAATCTAACATGATGCCACCACGATGACCCTGGTTCTCGTCATAGAAGAACCTGCAGCAATGCAGGCACAACGTCAGTAGACATAGCCCTGCCCAGTAGCGCTTGCACTGTTGCGATGGGGCTTAGTCCGGTCATTGTCCTCGTATTGTGACAGGTGCCAACTTGGCATGAGTATCCATGCCATCAGTCGTATCACGGCGAATCATTTATTCCGCCTTGCAAGCAGGTAGGTGCCCACCCAAGCACTCGGATACAGCAGCAATGCAGACTGGTATCACATCACGTTGCGGTTCTCCCAAACCATCCAACGTGGAAGCTGTCCGATCATGCATCCCTGCACGGTGAGGCGTTGAGCGCTGGATGGGCGTTTGAGTCCGTGACACTGCGTGTGCTGCACCTGAACTCAAAGGCACAGCAGATCTTCTTGAGATGCTCGGGCCGTTCTGGAAGGGAAGTGGTAGTGTGCTCGAGTTTCCTGTCATTGGCGGGTGGGCGTTTGCGCTGCCACTGTTGAGATATCTTTTGCCGGTTGGTGTCTCGGTCTCTTTCTCGCTGTGGGTTTTGTGGACACGTGATTGGATTATCCGAGTCGTAGGCCCACTGCGCGTCCAAGCGAGGGGTAACTGTACCGGGTAACTGTCATGTAGAAGCCTGAATTATTGTCGATGTTTCTCCTCGGGGCTGGTCGTTGGGACTCTGCTATTATATACACCCCTCCTACCACCAAAAAGAAAGAGAGCCAATTCCTATTCTCATCATGAAGGCCCCTACATTCCTTGTTTTGGGAGCGTAGAGATGCTGAGGACTCGGCTTCGACATCGAGGACGAGCCAGCACCAAAGCCGTCTATGAGCCCACTCTCCATGCACTCTGGCCCAAATGGGGTTGTGGAGAGGGTTTAGGGTTTTAGGGGGTGATTCTATCTCTAACGGAAATTCCCAAATCCTTGAAGGATCATGGGACTTCGCAACTGGGGCCATGAATAGGGTAACCAGCCTATAATTCCAATTTCGGTTCTTCTAACCGTGCTTACTACGTCCCCTGATCCCTAAACCCTAGACCCTTAAGCCTGAACCCTGAACCCTAAGCCCTAAACCCTAGACCCTGAACCCTGAACCCTAGACCTCCAAGCAGCTCTCTTAGGTGTCTCAAGATGGTCCGGCGTGCGAAGCACGCCCCCGAAGCTCCAAGCGAAAGCGAGCTTTACCCGCCAGTGGCGCCGTATGCACCTCGGTTTTCGTCTCAGATGTCGGATGTGGCGAGCAGGTTCCCTCTTCAGCTCGTTTCAATTTTAGGGTTTAGGGCCTTGGAAACTCCATGACCTGGCAGCACGAGGTGCAAACCGCCTTCGCGCCCTGGCACCTCAAGCCCGCAGAGGAGGCCAAGCGCACAGCGGAGCCGAAGGCTGCAGCGGAGCCCAAGGCTGCAGAGGAGCGCAGGACTGCAGCGGAGCCCAAGGCTGCAGCGGAGCGCAGGACTGCAGCGGAGCCCAAGGTTGCAGAGGAGCGCAGGACTGCAGCGGAGCCCAAGGTAGAGGAGCGCAGGACTGCAGCAGAGTCCAAGGCAGCGGAGCCCAACGCTGCAGCGGAGCCCAAGGCTGCAGCGGAGTCCAAGGCAGAGGAGCCGACGGCTGCAGCGGAGCCCAAGGCTGCAGCGGAGGCAACGGGGCCAGCGCCCGACGAAGACCCTGGAGAGGACGATGAGTCTGCGACTCATCCATCAATGCCCCCGTTGATTCCAGTGACACCCTGTTGGTTGGACGAACCGGGGGCTGCGAAGCCTCTAGAGAAGTCAACGGGGCGAGCGCCCGACGCCGGGCAAAGCGAGGCGGAGGAGCAGACGGGGCCAGCGCCCGCTGCAGCTGCAGAGGAGCCGACGGGGCCAGCCGCTGCAGCTGGTGGGGACGACGATGCCTCCTCGGCGACGCATCCATCGATGCCGGATTTGATTCCTGTCACCCCATACTGGTTAGACGAACCGCGGGGTCCCAAGCTGTCCTTCGCTCTCAGTGCTCTTGTGCTAAGACATTCGCTCCAAGGTCTCCTGGCATCCGTTTCTGAAGCTAGATTTGAAGCGACTGGGATGTTTCACTGACCTTGCCAAAAGGATGGGCAAGCGCTGCAACTTCACACTGGTGCTGCACTGGATGAGATCGTCCCAGGTTAGGTTCAATCTTGTTTAAGCCTTCGTCACGAGACTGGGGTCTGCCGCGACTGTTAGAGACCACGCACTCGTCCGCCTCGTCTCATTCTGGCTGGCAATTCGAGTGACATCGATCAAAGAGCTCTTCCCTTCATACAGCAGCAAAGCAGGGACGGCAGATGTAAGAAGGGCCGGGGGTGTTGCTAGAATCATTTTCCAAAGATGCCATGTTGTGGCGCGTCTCCGGACAAATCTGCATTGGCAGACTATGCGAAGCTCTTGCGCAACCAGGGGGACGAAGGCAGTCCAGACTTCACGGCGGCGCCTTTGCTATTCCCAATGTACACCGTGCCTGTGGAAGCCTTGTTGCAGATGACAGAGAATGAGCCCCATGAAGTACTGAAGGCCAAAGGTGTGGTTGTGAAGTTCAACGAGGGCATGGGCAATGCCGTCTTTGTATCGCACCAGTGGGTGGGGGACAACCATCCAGATCCTGAGTTCAAGCAACTGAGAGTCTTGCAAGATGCGCTGAGACACCTTTTGTGTGAGATGCAGCATGTGCCCGTGGATTTGTTCACAGAGATTTTGGTACCCAGTTCGAAGCGCTTGCGCTTGAAGGAGCTGCGATCCGCACCACTCTTTATCTGGTTCGACTACTTTTCGTGCCCGCAGCTCTTGGGGCAAGGTCCTGCGCAAGGTTCGGACAGCGACCTCTCCAAGGCCATCAACAGCATCCCAGCCTACGTTGCAAAGTGTCGCTTCTTCTTCGCCCTCTGTCCTGTGGTCCCACAAGTAAGCCTTAGCAGCGTGTTCACGCCAATGACATGGGGGGTGCGCGGATGGTGTAGGGTAGAAAGAGTTTGCCGCGAGCTGTCGAAAGATCACACCTGGATCATGATCAAGAGTGGCAGGGAGATGGAGTTGATCTCATCCTCCATAGCCTTCCCAGGGGGGTCCGCAGGCGAGGGCCTCTTTACTGTCCAAGAGGATCGCAACAAGCTTGCTCCAGTCCTCGAGGGAGTGCTCATGCGAAAGATGATGTTCTTGCTCAGAGCGCAGGATCTGGTGGCCTTCCGGATACTTTACAACATGCAAAGTGTTCACTTGCGAGGCTTCCCTACGGCAACGATCGTGCGCGACTTGGTGCCCGGCTTCGACTCCGATGATCCCCTGCAAAACAGTTCTCCAAGCCAAGAGGTAGATCGTTTCTTGTATCAGAACGGATTACCCAACATTCACGCTTTCGACAAGGCTGGGTGGGCACCGCTGCACTATGCAGCTTTAGGTGGAAACCCGGACTTGATAAGAGCTTTGCTGGAGCAGCGGGCCGACGTGAACTGCTGGACCACGAAGCTGGGCTCTTCAGTATGATTTTCTTTCTATAACAACATATTAATATACATATTATATACATATATATATATATATACACATGTGTCTATGCAAAATATGTGTATACATCTATCTATCTATCTATCTATCTATATATATATATATATATATTTATATATAGAGATATAGACTACCTTGTCGAGCTTTGACGGGGCGTCTTTAGCCATTAAAACCTTGGTTGATGTAACCCTTGTCAGGTCTGGGATTGAACTGATTGAACCCTAAACTCCTACGCGTTCCGGGCTCTAGGGGTATTGCGCATTTATCTGTTCTAGAGAAGGTTGGAAGTACAAGCGACCATGCTGTACTGTACGCACAGACCCGGACCCCCCGGCGATCATGATATGTTTACGTGTGTGCTCACACCCCCATGATATCATCAGCAATCCGATACTGTAGCGGAGGCATTATTTTGGCCACATTGACGGCTACACCCCGCCAGAAATTTAACCCTAAAGCCTCCTCCACCCTCCCACCAGATCAAGGTTAATTTTCCGAGGAATATGAGACCTTAAATCGTCGTTCCCCTCCTAGGAATCCAGATGTTTATTCTGTATTTTCCGGGTCTGTATTTTCCGGGTCGGATGTAACCCCTATCTAAGGCCACTTACGGGTCAAATCTCTGGGGGGACGGCTGCCAAGACAGTTAAAAGCAGTTCATGCGTCGATTGTCATGCTATGGGCTGGGATAAGACCCAAGCAGCCCGTTTGCTGTACGGCCAATATTAAGTGGGCTGCGATTACTTGTTAAATGAGATAAGCGTCAAATGGCGGGCAGGATGAAGGTTAAGTAGCCACAGCCACTCGTTAAGGGCTAAATCTCCTCCTTTTACGGGTTGGTTAAACCAGCTGCAGATCCAGCAACGACAAGCCGTTAGCCGACACCGCCAAATTGCAATACACTCTAACACCTTTACTGTACCACCAAACTGCAACGTACTGCAATTCACTTTGACATGCAATACACGATCAACGGCCCGAAACAGTATAGACTTTTCCAAGGGTGCAATAGAGAAATACAGCTCGTCCTTAGAGTAATGACAGTAATAGTAGTTATAAGTTATGGTAACCATGCTTTTAACACAGTGCTACTAGTACCATTATTATTGCTACTAAGAATAATTATGCAAGCTCCAGGCCGCTGCCTCGGCGGCTGGGTTTGTGCAAGTCGTGAGATCTGTAGTAGTCGGCTCGTGGTCGCGAGTGTCACGGCCCCTCTCGTGTCTAAATGCGCTTGTCCAACTTTACGATGACCCTTGTTTTGTAGTGATTACGGCTTGACCTGCCGCTGCGACTACCACCACCACCACCACCACCACCACGACGACTACGACTACGACTACGACTACGACTACGACTACGACTCCGACTCCGACTCCGACTCCGACTCCGACTGC